AAAATGCCAGAGGGTGAATGTAATCCGTCTCACTGTTTTGCTATAAATTATTGTGAATGGTTTTGAGTGAGTGAGTGAAAAAGAACGTCGCACTGCTCAGCTACTTGAGGGTTTAAAGAGACGAGGACGAAACCTGAGCTGAAAGCCTTCTCTCCTAATATTTACACCACACCACTGGAGGACGTTTGAGCCCAGACATATTTCACTCTAGAAAGTCCGGGATTTCGATTACCCTTAAACGTCTACACGCGTCGTTTCGCCACTGCGATTTTTAATTTATAAAATACATATAATAGCTAAATAATTGTAGGACTGTTGTTCTGCAGAGTTTATTTTTAATGCATTTTACTATTATTTCATTCAATTATAATATATCATAATCCTTTATATCATAAAGAACTCAAGTTAACATTATATTTCGAGAAGCTAGTAGGATTACTGCTTTGTCACTCACCACTTTCTTACGTCGCAAACCTGTCAAGAACATTTCTATTATGAGGTATTTATTCTGTGTCATCCTTAACGACACACACACACACACACATATATATATATATATATATCAGAATTTACTGGAATATTATCAATTTAATCTACACTTTCTTCAGTTTCTTCGTTGTCACTTTCACTCGATCTTATTTTATTGACGAAATCTAAATTAAAAAATGACAGCTCACCACCCCATCCGATTTATTCTCAGAAATCACTCGCCACAATTTAACAAATTCATTAAGGGTTAGATCATTCCTTCAAGCCATAGTTTCAGTGTGTCTGCTCTGCATAAGGTTCGAAAACCGTATGAATTTTTTTTCCTGACTAGATAAGAGCAAACACTATTTAACGAAACAATTAAACACGCTATTTCAACAGAACTGATTCTTTTCCGTTAAGAGCCCAATAACACTGCTTTCTAAAAAATGTGAAGTATTACTTCGAGAAGTTTGTTTTAGGGATGGTATCTATACTGAGAGTGAACTATCTTTTGCTAAGTGACAGCTATTTATTTTTGTAAATTATCTGGGTGTCGAAATGGCCCTAGCGGAAGTTCTACGTATATTTATTAATAAAATCTTTCTTAATTAACCTAGAACTACAAAACATCTATGTAATCACCATGGAAAATGATTAAAAGTTACGAAATTTTTTTTTAATTTCCTGCTAAAATGTAGAAAGAAGAACAAACTACACAGGCTCTGGTGTCAAATCGACACCGACGGATGTTCTAGTGATAACGTACATCGCCCCCTTCTGCCTGACGGGTCTACAATGGTACTATATTCATACTCATGACACTCGATCAACCAGCCTGTTACCTTTACTACTGGCCTATAGCGTCTAATTACTGATTTTGAACGAAACGTTTTGAGATATCACTTAATGTTAAGTAATAAATTTATAAATACTTTTATGATATAGTGTGATGTATAAAATGTGTATATACTATTCTACAGATGATTTAACAAGTAAATTGATTTATATTTCAGATATTACCCTTTCACTTGGAAAATAATTTTGCTTTCTTCAATGATATTGTACGCATTCTAAAGCAGCAACCATAATTTTAATATATTTTTAAATGAGTTCCTAAAGATATTTTTGCGAAAGAAAAAAAAAATTAAGAATCAATTCTATTGACCTTTAAGTATAAAAATATTAGAGGAAGAGAGCGAGAGAAAATAAAAAAAAGGTAAGAATATTGTGTTTAGAATGTTCAAGTATTTAACACACTGTTGTTAGCAGAATGCTCTCGGTTTCATTTCTTGCAGTGTTGGGGTATTTACAATGAAATTAGACTGGTTTCGACAGACGGAAAATAATGGAAATCCAAGAATACAATATCATTCGATTCTTCGCACCGAATTTTTTCGTCAGATGGTAAGCCAAAGATCAGGGGTACTCAACCTTTTTTTCCGCTGGGTCGCATACACATGTTAGCAATTTCAAACGAGAAGCATACACATGTTAAGTTAATTCACGTGGGCCGCAACATGAGGATAAATGGGAGAGGGGGAGGGAGAAATGTTTTTAGAACAAATATAAAATGAGGAAAACTTATGGAAATATTATAACTCTTGCTTGATTTTTGTTTTAATTATTATTTTTGATATTTTTATTTTGTTTATTTTTGTCGTTGACACTTAATTAGAAACATTTAGAAACACTCCTTCACAATTTTTGTATTATTAAACGGTTTCATATGATTACCAATAATATAACAAACTTCATAGGCTGTCTTTGTTACCGCTGTGATATGACCACTCACAAAACACTTTTTTGCTGTTTCAAAGAATATTCAAGAAAGACTATTTATCGCCTCTTGAAAGAGATATTCGAGAAAAAGGGTCATTGAATGAGATTCCTGTTTATTGGTATTTTTTAAATACAGCACTGTCCTGACAAATCAAACAATTACTGAACCATTCTTATTTTTATAACTACAAAATAATAAACCTCCCAATTGTCTTCAAACGATTTATTTCTTTCGAATATTTTTCGCTTGCAAAATATGAAAGATGGTTACCAATTAGTTTCATCCATAAAATTATCGCTACTTCACTGTTGTCTGTTATCACTAACCGTAATTGTTCGAAATAAAAAGAATATCAATTCGTCCCCGTACGAAAAGGGTATTAAAAGCAAAGTTGATATATTTGATTTCTTGACAAAGAATTTCTAGTCAAATTTTTAATACAATGTTTTTAATAAGTAACTTCCTAAGAGCAATGGAGCATCACCAGGTCAATTAAAAAAGGCTCGGTGGGCCACAGGTTGAATAACGCTGCTTTTAATTCTTCTTCAAGGCAGTCTTTACTGAAAGGGCGTACCAGATGCACAGCATTGCCCCATTTGCATCGGGCTTCGTGGTTTGCAAAGTACAACCACTTCATAATTTCAGTTTATACAACAGTGAATTATTGCGAAAGAAAATGTGCAGGACTCTACACCAAAATGAAAATGAAAGTTAGAACTTGAAATTCTTTAGACCATGATACTTTTGAAAAAGAGTAGAAATGAAATGTTGGTCATATTTTAATGTCCGTATCCACGAATCTCTAAAATTTTTAACTTTGGTTTGGAGTAAAAAAAAAGTTCACTATTTTATAATGCAAACATTTTTTTAATGAAGCTAACATTTAGGATCAAATTAACTTGTTTTATATTTCATACTTTTTTTTTTGTAATTATTCTAAAAAAAAGTTAAGTAAAAATAAAAAAAAAAAAAAAAAAACTTCCGCTTTCTTAGTAAAATTAGAAGAACGACTGAATTTTTTCTTTCAACAAAAACCTTTCTTAATACTTATGAAAGAAAAAATTTCAGAAAATATTGGAAAATAAATATATATTCGCTGAAAAAAAAATGTGAAATGAATGATACGAAAGAAAAATAAAAATTAATAATGAAACAATATTTTTTCTATATTCTTACTTTTACTGTAGTCTCCAGGTTGATATTATCATGAAAATTTCTAAGATTTTAAAAAGATTTTCGCAAATAAAAACACATTAAAAAGAAGAGCACATATTACAAAAAAATTCATACATTCAAAATCATACATAAAACATGAATGATATATATTGTAATTTTGAGTGAGTGAGTAAGTCAAAATTAACGTCGCACTGTTCAGCTACACGAGGGTTTTTGGCGTATGACCACGTAATTTTGAACCATAATCAACTGACAAGGATGACACCTGTGCTGGCACCGCCCTCTCCGAAATACCACATCACACCAACGGGAGGATGTTTGAGCTATCTACATATTTAACGTGCATGGCTTCCCCTGCACGGTAGGTCTTTAGTGGTACTAGGCTCGAACTCATCACATGCCTGTCATGATCCGATACTTCGACCACTGGGTTACCACAGCCCCCTTTGTAATTGTGAACCACGGTGAAGTGACGAGGGCAAAACTGGAGAGTTTAGATCACTTTAAGTTCGTACTCGATTCATTTGATCCGATATAGATTAGAATGTATCGGCGAGTATTTTTTATAAAATTTAGAGAGTGACAACCAGACAAAATATTCTTCCAATATTTCAAGTAACCAACTGAAATGTATTAGTATTCTTAAATATTTTTAAATATATTCAGGGACTTGTAAAGATTATTTTTTCTTTGTATAAAAGATTAAGTATAAAAGCAGGAGTATAAAAATGATAGCATTTGAAGCACGAAATTTTTTCAAATTCATTTATTATTATCTCTTTAAATTTCAATACAGGAAAACCTTATCTCAGTTTATTGAGAACTCTTAAAAAATTAAATTGTTGAACCTTTCATTGTATAGAGTTTTGTAATTTTTTTCCCCCTCAATTTGGCACTTTTTGTAAAAGTTTATCCAAAATAGGAAAATTTTAAATATCTATATATTGCTTAATAAATAATATAAAAAAATCAAACGATGTAATAAATATTTTGCACAATAAAATGTTTTTTACAGTGATTATACAACATGTAGAAAAGATTACATTTCTTAACCAAATATTTATGTGATAGAAATAACATATATTTTTTACTCTAACAATACAATGAAACGCTATATATTACCCAGTATCTCCTTATAAATCTGAACCCACACATTTGTAGGTAAATTTTACTTTCTAATAATTAATATAATTTCTAAAGTCTATTGAAAAAGTTATTCCTTAAAACGGACAAAAACGCTGTTCAGGAGCAGGAATCGAACCGACCTTGACAATAGTCATTCGGATAACCTGCACCTTTGCAAATGAAGCCACTCCTTGGATCCGAAACGACCTTTCAGTCAAAGCTGCAACGGAGGAATGATTTAATGCTTGCCATCTTGTCATGGCTTCTGCTATTACCGATGTGAATCGGTCTAAAATTATCTCTGAGATAAGTCACAGTTTCACATGGTATTATTTTTAACACTTTTCATTCTTTTGTATATTAAAGGAAGCTAATTAATTGTGTGTAGATGGATAATTACTTGAGCAATAATCCAATACAACATGAATCTAAACCAAGATGTGTCCGCATTTTTTAAACGGTGCAGAAGTCCGATGTCATAACCATTCGGCCATCCTGAACGCAACAGTCATAACTTTTCTCCTTCTTCTGCTTTAGTTAAAAATATTCATTAAGAAGTGTTAGACAGCTAAAATCTTTTTTTTTGTTGACAATTTGAGTTTTTTGCATTTTTAAATTGTATAAATTTTAACCTTTCTAAAAATACCTTACTTTAACATTTGAGTAATTAGATGCCCTTAAAACATATTTGTAAATAATCGTCGAAAATGGGCCACACCCATTTGAAAGGCGAAAAATGTAAACAAAATAATCCGTTTTTTCTTAAAAGTTTAACGTCTAATATAAACCAAAACATGTATCTTTTGTTGTAAGTTGAGCATTTTATTTTTTATTTCCTGGCCGATTAGAAGTCTCACTGTATACATTAAAATCAATTTATGTCACAAAGTAAATTTTGATGTTCTAAGTACCTTTTCTGAGAAACTACTGTTCACAGGTATGTAAAGTTTTAAGATATATTTATAATGATGTCTAATATATACTGAAATGAGCCTATTGTAGAAGACTAAAAAATTTATTTTTTACAAATTTTTATGTGAAATTGGGTCAAAAATGCGTATTGATAAAATATTTCATAATTAAAAAACCCCAAATCAGCTAAAAGCTCATTTTCTTCAGCAATGTGCTTTAAAAATGAGACGAGCTTTAGGTTTAAGCATCTATTTTAACTTTAAATATTTATCAATAGTTTTAATTACATTGTCACAATACATTCTTAGTTGTGATGCAATAAGTCTTTGAGACGGCGTTTTTTTTTTTCTTTTCCCTAGGATTAGAGATTTTGATTCCTGGATAGCTGCCTTCATTTGAACAGTCTTAGGATGAAGGATCATGGTCAGATTTTCATTTTTAATTTCAGCTAGACCTTTTTCATCTTTCAAATTTAATGTATTATATTTATCTTTTATTGAAATGTGATTATATCATTATGATTTATTGCAATATTTTAGTGTGATATTTTTTTTGAATCACTATATTAAAAACTAAGAGATATACATAAATAAAATACTCAAATTTGTGAAATTTAATCTGTTATAGATAATTAATTATAATGGAACTTAAATTCAGTTTACAGTTCGAAAATACTATCATAATACGCAAAAAGCCCGAATGATTTTTTAACAGAGTTTTAACTTTTAAAAATGCTAAATAAACAGAGAACACTAATATTTTACAGCACAAAATATTTATTTTTGAAAACTGTGAATTTTTAGAAATTTATTTACTTTTTTTTACGCATAAATGCAGGTTTTATTCCTAAACTTCTTTTGAGGAAATACAAGGTAACAATTTTTCTTTTCATAAATACACAAAATCTCATGACACATTGTGCAGATTTTGACTGAATGTTTTTTTAAGCACTGCAACCTGGGGAATGAAAATGCTGTATTTCCTGAACATGAACTACTGCACTTTGATTCTTGTTCATTCTCTTGATCGTCTTTTTTAGAATCTAACGAAAATTCCAACAGATAATTTGTTTGGAAATTATTCATCTGAAGACACATCTCTTCGTTCATCACTGCTTTCAGATGGATCCCTCTTTCTTTTACAAATCCAAAGTCTCATGAAGATTAGGCTTCTTTTTTCTAGACACTCTAAGAAAAGAGTGGAGGATAATAAATAACACTTGAAAACTACCTGCTATTTTTAAATCTGAGTTACATATGCAGAAGTTAAAATGTTTCTAATTTTCGAATAAATTATAGATAACTCATTTCACTGTGTGGTAAAAAATAATATCAGATTCTCAGTTATATTTTCGGAAAAAAAATGATAATCCTCACGATCCGATCAAACTGTCAGCTGAAAACTAATGTTTTGATTAAAAACTATATTCGCCTGCCCAGTCAAAATCCTCATGATAGAACCTGTGTTGCCATGTATCCTAGAAGAGTGAAATTAAGAGAGTTTTCTTGATAAATATTGTCAGAATATTCGTAATAATTATTATTCCATGAAATATTTAAGTGAGTGTTACTTATACTTTCAGCAAATAAAGGGATAATCCATTATTTGCATGGTATGTCACCAAAGATGTACTTAAGGCAATGACCACTGAGTGCCATAGGCCATAGAATAATGTATTTCATCTGAGATCAAATCATGATGAATAGGTGCGTCTAGATTAAAAAGAAAACACAATGACTTCTTCTATGCAGAAATTTATTGTTCCTTTATTCCTGCTAATTTTAGTATAAAGAGCAGCATTCCCAAGAGTAGAAACTACCTGTCCTTGGATTGAGGTCAGATAGAAGTTGTTGCAGTTATGGCATGAGATGATAGTAGAACGTCTCACAATGCTTTGTTGGTAAATAAGCTTCCCGCTTTCGAACAAATGTTTGCGATAACATGTTACATAATTTAATCAATGTATGAATACTTCCTTGATACAATATAATGTATAAAATGTAATTTAAAATGCATAATTCTACACCTGTACATGTGAATGAGGTAACTGCCAAGGATTATTATTTATAAATATTATGTTTCTTTTTTTTTTTGTTTTCTTAATTATCAATAATTTACGTGTTTGAATTTTATAACTGTGTAGTCTGGATATTGTTTGAGAACATCTCCGAAAATGGAATTATTAAACAGAGAAAGAAAGCAAAGCGTAAGGAAGGCGTTTCGCGTTCAGGATGGCCGAGTGGTTATGGCATCGGACTTCTGCAACGTTTGCAGAATGTGGCAGCTCCTTTCTATCAGTTATTACGTTATTGGGGCTTTCTTACATTAAGTCTAAAAAGCCCTCTTGCAGTTGAACAGTGCGACGTTAGTATTCCATTACTCATAAGAAGTATCAAAGGTGCAAGATAAAAATAAAAAAAATATCATTAGAATGCAATGATTTTCAAAAGAGATTAGACCGTATTACATCGGCAATTGCAGAAGCCATCATCGGATGACAAACTTTAGTACCTCCATTATATTGTAATACTGAACAAACTCATTATATGTCCAATGAGTGGCCGCTTCTGCAAACATGGTAGTTATCCGAGTGACGGTTATGTCAGCAGGTTCGATTCCTGCTGCTGAGCAGCGTTTTTTTTCCCCTTACCGCATGGTGTAAATTTTGAATAGCATTTACAGACTATTTCCTTATGACTAAATAAATAAATTTTTTCATTCCTCAATGTGTAGTTATGCATTTCAATTTTAAATGTATAACATAAAAACTGTACGATGATAGCACTAAGACATTATTAACTAAAAATATTAGAAAACACAAGAAAAGAATACTGCTTTCACGATGTTCGGGTGGTTATGGCATCGGACTTCTGCATCGTTTGCAAAATGTGGTTAACCCTTGGTTTCAGTTCATACAGTATTGGTGTCTTGCAAATTAAGTCACAATAGCCACACACACAC